TTCTGCTTATAACGAATTCATTTCTGTGGATGCCTAACAATAAAACTCAGAACAACAGTATCTGAACAATAAATATGCATGCCTGTATACACACACACACACACACACACACACACAAACATCCATCTTTTGGTATTGAGGGGTTATTCCCAAGCCCAAAAATCCAAGGATGTTCAAGTTCTTCCTAAAGGTGTACTATCTGCAAATACTAATATCTAATACAAGGAAAATGCTACATAAATATATCATACTGCATTGCTTAGGAATAATGATATAAAAACAAAAGTTTGTTCATGTTCAGTTCACATGAGAGTTTTGTTTACTATGTCTGAACCACAGTGAGAATATGGAGCCCACATATATGAACCAACAAAGAGCTGACTATACTGATTTTTAAAGTCTATGATTCTAAAATTTGTAACATTTTATATTGAATCCACAAAATTTTACTCTTGGGCCAGCAAGATGGCTCAGCAGGTGAAAGTGCTTGCTACGCAAGCATGATGACCTGACTTCAATCCTCTGAACTCATGTAAGGGTAGGAGAACACTGACTCCTGTAAGTTGTCCTATGATCTCCACACACATGTCATGTCCTCCACATGCACCTAACTCATACACACAATCATAGCAAGTAAAATTTTTAAAAATTGTACTCTTGAGCTGGGCGTGGTGGCACACGCCTGTAGTCCTGACACTTGGGAGGCAGAGGCAGGCAGATGTCTGTGAGTTCAAGGCCAGCCTGGTCTACATAGTGAGTTCCAGGCCAGCTGGGGCTACAGGGAGACCCTGCTTCAAAAAAAAGACCAAAAAAAAAATATTTTACTCTTGCTAAAACCTAAAACATAGCCATTTTAAAATTTCAAATGCAGGCCTTAAAAGTTTAATCATGGAGGTATGCACATGTAATTCCAGCATCTGGGAGATGGTGGAAGGATCAGTGATAGAGTTCAAGGTTAGCCTCAGCTACACAGTTTGAGGCCCGGCAGGACTACATAATACCCTATCTCATATCACAATCCCCCCTCAAAAAAAAAAAAAAAAAAAAAAAAAAAAAAAAAAAACCTTGCAAGGTCAGTAAAGTCAGACAACTTTGCAAAAACTGGAGTACTTACTTTCCACCATAAGATCAAACCAATCTCCCAGGGGGTGCTTGGAAAGGCACAGTCAGAAAAGCTTGATCCCTTATGGAGAGCCTGGAGAAATATTCAAAGCTTTTCATCCTGACCTAAAAGTACTGTTCTAACTTTCCACAACGTTCATAGAAGGGAGTTCCTTGTAACCAAATAGTGGTGATTTGCATCTCTAAGTTATTAAGAATACAGTGCATCTGAAGGGAGGGAATAAGTTAAACAATAATCTAACCTAAAACCAATAGTACTGCATTTTAGATGAGTAGATCCCAGAAGAAAGTAAATAAGAAACAGTAGAATCTACCCATTCATTTGCCCATTTGTCTCACTTAGCTTCCCGCTCCTACTCCACAATCTTTTAGAACAAGCCACAATATGTTTTAAAATCTATAAATGCATTTATGCAAAGAATGGGCAGCTCTTTAGCCAGATGTACAACTGATGATGCAGTAACTGCAATCTTTTTTGAAGGCATTATACCAGCTTCCTGCATCCTGTTAAAACTTGTCCTCTAGGATTTCCTGACTCTCAGGCCAAACCCTGGAGCTGAGTTTCCTAGGGTGTTGCTTAACAGCAGTCAGTCTGTCCTGTTCTTTTCCTCACCAAAGATTATTTCTCATAGACTCAAGATCTTGTTCTCTGCTAAAGTGGCTGTTCATGCATGGATTATTCCATGAGCATCTTCTCATGAAAGCCAAGTGGAGGGTGAATTTGCACTTCCTGAACCCCTTCCTTCCCTGTGCCATGTCACATGCCTTATTATCCAGCACTTGACACCCTTCCTGGGTTATAATGTTAGATGAATGAAAAAATTGCATTAATCATCACAATGGGTTCCACTGTGATCCAATTTAAAGATGAAGAAATCCAGTTTCAGGCAGATCATTATTAGTAATTTTATTTATTGTTATTGTGTATGTGTGTGCATGATGAAAGGGGCATGTATGTCACAGCACACACGTGAAAGTCATAGAACAACTTTGTGGAGTCAGTTCTTTCCTTCTACCTTGGAATGTGTTCTAAGGATAGAGCTCAGGTTTCCAGGCTTGTGCAACAAGCACATTTGCCAGCTGAGCCATCTTGCTAGGCCAAAGACTAAAACATATAGGCATACAGCTGTTGAATGGCCTAGCAGATCAGGTGGTCAACTGCAAAGCTCATGCTTTTTTGAAAAATATATTTTTATTTATTTGAGACTTTCACTCAGTATATTTTGATCCTATTCAGACCCCCTCCCCTCCCTTCATCCCCATCTTACTACCCTCCTTCCATTTCATGTCCTCTACTATTACTTGCTTTTTATTTTTTTATTTATTAATTTTATTTTATGCATATGGTGTATTGCCTGCATGTAGGTAAATTCACCTGTGCTGTGCAATGCCCACAAAGGACAGAAGAGGCTGCCGGATACCCTGGAACTGGAGTTACAGACAGCTACTAGCTGCCATATGGGTGCTGGGATTTGAACCCAGGTCTTTTGCAAGAACAGCCAGTGTTCTTAACCGCCGAGTCATCTCTCCAGCCCCTACTTGCCTTTTTTTAAAGGCCTATGGACTCTTGGCTGGAGATGTGGCTCACTGGTTAAGAGGGCTGACTGCTCTTGCAGAAGACCTGGGTTCGATTCCCAGCACCCACATGGCAGATAACCATTCCTAACCAGGGAATCCAACACCCTCTTCTGACCTCCACAGGCACTGCATAACAACATGGGTGTACTTACATGTAGGCAATACACTCATACACATAAATAAAAATAATAATAATAAATAAAATAAAGGCCTATGGAATCTACTCTGTGTTTCCTAAATCCTCTTATCCCTGGGAGTCTGGTCAACCTATTAGGCGTCACACCAGTAAAGAAAAGTGACTCTCCTTCTCCTAGCATTTATCAATTGCTAACAGATCCTAGCTAGCACTAGGGCTTCCTGCCCACCTCCTCCATCTATATAGGGTCCCTGTCTAGCTTAGGTTTGCATAGATCTTATGCATGCTGTCATAAGCACTGAGAGTTCCTCTGCGAGTTCCTATGTGCAACTAGGAACTATGGTGTACAGACAATATTTTATTTACCTACCACCTCGGGCTTTTACCATCTTTCCACTCCTCTTCCATAATGATCCCTGAGCCTTGGGAGGAGAGGTATCCCATTTAGGGCTGAGCGCTCCAAAATCTCTTATTCTCTGCACATTGACCACAAGCTACATTTTTTGATGAATCACTTTGAAGATTCAACACCAAATTCCATCTTCTGTTTCTAGTCCCTGCTAGAACCTCACCATATGATATATAAAATCTGAAGATGGTTAGATAGAGAATAAGACTTTAATAGAAAGAAGCCCATCAAAGAGGCTAGTGATGTAATTCAGTTGGTGGAGGCCTTGCCTAGTATGCAAAGCCCCAGGTTTGATTTCCAGCATAAACCAAGCATGAACCACTTAGGGGGTAGAAGCAGGAAGATCACAAGTTAAAGGTCATCCTTGGCTACATAGCAAGTCTGAGGCCAGACTGGGCTGCATGTCTCCAAAAAATAAAAATAAAAATCCCATCACAAAATTGGTGAGTCACATATCTCTGAATATCAACCACTAAGAATACAGAAAAGGTGACTTTTTAGGAGATAGGCTAGTGGCAGTGTTCTACAGAGTAGAGAAGCAGTAATTATGAGAAGTAACTGGCAAGTACAAGGTTAACAAGAAAAGAAAGTAGCCAGTTTGACTCATCTTAATGGCACTGACGATATTCTGGTGACAGTGGCTAGATATTCCAAATCGAGAAGAAAAAAGGAGTCTCCAGCAGTAACTATCATCCAGTATTAGTGATAAATATACATAAGGAAAGGGTGTCAGGCTATATACCAAGACACTGTCTCAAAAAAGAAAAGAAAAAAAAAGTGTGAAAGACGATAGAAACTCTTACCACATTTGCTAACATGGATGAGCTTTTCTAGTACAACCATCTACTTTCACGTGGGACGATGTAACCAATCCCTTCCTGGACAAGTCTAATAACAGGTGAAAGGAACTCTAATGGTCCACTGGCACCATAAACTCAGGCCTCATCTAAATTACTTCCTGCTCTTCTAAATACATTGGATAATCATTCTTTCATCTTTCTCATAAAACTGTAAGAGTCTTTGTGAAACATAGGACTAATATCCACAGCCCTTTCAGTGTACAATAAAACAAACAGATCATAAAAGCAATCATAAAAATGCCAGCAATTTTAAGCAGCTGATACAAGTTACAAATTTAAAGGCAAGCTTGCTCTCCTAAGGCTCTTCTGCCTATTGCTGACTTAAATGGCTTCGATATGAACTGAGTGTTAATTGTAACTGAAGTTTGAGTGCAGTGCTTAATTGTTCTTACAGCTTAAAATGCTTTAAAAGATGGATCTAGTAGAAAAGAAAGGCAGGAAGAAAACAATGAAGGCAGGCTATGTATTCTTTGCCTCTCTCATATCATTTAAAGTTAGTGTTAGGAGCGTTTCATGAAATGAAATGGGAGTGCTTTTATAAAACTATTTTTACATACCATTACTTCATACCCAGGGCCCAGTAGGTTTTCCCATCTGGATTTCAGCTCATTTTCTGGAAAGCCTGGAGCTTTTTCTGGATATACATTTATAAGAAAAAGAACATTGAAGCTTCTGTGAGCCAAATATACATAAGTAATAAATTCTTCAATAACAGCTCAGCTTCAGTAAGTACAAGGGAAATGAATAAAAAGGAAAATGCATTATCTTAATTCTACCAGGTAAAGTAAATCAAAAGTGACTTCTAAGTAACACAAAATGGAAAACCATCTGTGACAAGATTGTGAAGGGGCTTCTGTTCAGGAATACTTTATTGTTTGTTTGAAACAGGGTCTCACTATGTAGCCCTGGATGGCCTAAAACTTCATTATATAGACCAGGCAGGCCTTGAACTCAGAGATCCACCTGCCTCTGCCTCCTGAGTGCTGGGATTAAAACCATGCAGTACTTTAAAGGGAAGAGGAAATTATGAATTACAAGAGAAATTTGAGTATGTGTAGGTATTTGACTTAGGTATTTGAGTTTATCTGTAGGTATCTGACAGTTTTATTTGTAGGTATTTAATTGAAATGATAATCATTTCAAGGTGGTACCTATCCACTGGAGCACACACACTTCCCAAGATATCATTGTCATCATCAAGGCAGACTGATAACACAGTTAGGCCTCCAAATGGATGGATGGATGGATGGATGGATGGATGGATGGATGGATGGAAAGACTGGTCTTGCTAAATTTTAAAATCACATGATCTTTCATCAGATAGAAACTTTGGTTTTGTTGTGACTTAGTTATTACAATATTTGTAGCTTTACAATGTTCTTGATTTAATACTGCCATCTTGCATAGGTGTGATAATTTAAAAGCTAAGACAGCTTTTAAGGACCATGCCTATCCTCTGTATAATCTCCACAATCAAATGACAGTTAGTAGTCTGAAGAATGTCTAACCGATAAAAGTCAAAGTACTAAAACTATTAGTTCAACTTACATCCATACTAACAGCAGAGGATTAAAAAAGCTCCACATTTTTCAAGTTAAACTCTCATTTCTGCTGTAAGATTGGACAAGTCACAGAACACTTGCCACAACTGGCATAACCATCTGCCAAAATCAAATGAAATGTGCAATATCAGCTCTTTTTCATCTTTAGCATGGCTCACTTTGACTGCATAAAATGCTTAATTACATGCTACAAGTCATTAAGTTAAATAGGCTAACTTCAGAATCAGAGACTAAGACTAATAAACACCCAAGAACTTAAACTACTACATTTACAAAAGAACATCCAGAGACAACTACATTAACTGATATGCTCACCAAGGATCCTATTAAACCAAATAGCAAATTCATTTGGGCTGGGCACATTTCCATAAGAAATTATGTGTTTTTGTCAAATTCTTTTTTAGAACATATTTGTTATTGTGTACGTGTATATAATGTGGCAGCATATGCCATAGCACACATGTGGAAGTCAAAGAACAAGTTTTGTAGAGTCTGTTCTTCCCTTCCACCTCTGTGGAGGTTCTGAGAATTGACCTTGGTCATGAGCCTTGCCAGCAAGTGCCTTTACTCACTGTGCCATCTCTCCAGCCCCTCCACCAAATTCTTAAGAGTGTCACCATGTTACCGGTTCAGTTTCTTCCAAGCATCAGTTTTATATCTGCTAAATGAATCTGAGGAAAATCTACAATGTACTGGGTAAATTCTAAGCCTAAAAACACAGTAGTGAGAAGAAAGTTCATACATATGTAAGAAAAAATACTGACATTTCACCAACAATTTGTTTCTACTTTCCAGTTATACAGTGGAAACAGACAGCTATGCACACTAAAGCACAGCACAAAAAACTAAGCATCAGAGGAAGATTAATTTATTTGCAGCAACTCAATAAAAGGCCACACCAGATGATGGAAATGGTGAATAAACAAGACTATCTTAAGCAATTAATACCTGGGCATGAAAGAGTGCTAACTTCACAGCAGTCAGGATATGGTTTGTTTCCTTTTTTTTTAAAAAAAATGGGGATTTATTTTTATTTTATGTATTTTGCCTACACGTACATTAAGTGCATCCATGTCATACAATACCCATGGAGGCAAGAAGAGGGTATCAGATTCCCTGAAACTGGAGTTAGAGAGTGTTGTTAGCTGCCAGGTAGATGCTGGAAAACTGAACCTGGGTCCTCTGTAAGAACAGTGCTCTTAATGGCAGAGCCATCTCTCTAGCCTCCAGACTGGTTTGCTTTGAACCTGAATTATACATATGCATGAAGAGAAAAAAGTGAAATTAATTTAAAAGGCATCGGAAGGTAGAAGCAGGATTGTGACTTCCAGGCCAGCCTGAGCCGTACAGTGACACCCTCTCTCAGAAAATAAACAAAAATGAGGCACGGATAAAATACTTCTAAAACTATTTCTAACTTCATTTGATTTTCATCTGATATTTCACTGAAATTCATCACAACTCAACTAATTTAAAATAGTAAAGATTAATTACACTCTATTTGGATCAAAAAGAACAAAACAGGCTTCCAAACCACAGGGAATTTTCTATCTTGAATGAGGGGTAACCCTCCCTTCAGGCTACCTTTCCTCACACAAGAAAAGCCAAAGCCCAAGACTTCTCTGGAACATGGATGGGGCTAAGCATATGGAGAAGTTCTACTTAGCTGGCCCCGCTTTCTTGAGTACCTTTGCAGAAGGAACTGGAAGGGCTGTAACTCAATATGCTTGCAGCACAGAGTCTACAACAGCTAAAGTACTGAACAAAAAGGCCAAGTCAAAAAAAATTTTTAAATCATTGTATAACAGCCTGGTAATGTGATGCGTCATAAAATGCATGTTACTAATTTTTACGAAGAAACACTGCTATGCTTATGCAGACAGCTATAATCTATAGCTGCAAGAACATCAATAATACAACAGAAGTTAGAACGTGTAGTAGTAAGAAATGCTGTAAGTAGCTACTGCATACTAATAATTATGCATTTGAAACTAATATATTTTAAAAAGATTAAACAAGAATACTCTTGGCCCTCCACTGCCAAATGTGTTAAGATTATGACATTCAGAATACCCCATTTTATTTCTTTATTTTGAGGCGGGGGTGAGGGGAATGTTGGTGGTAGTACTGGGGTTGAGCCTACATGCTAGGCAGGCACTCTATCACTTTGCTACATCCCTAGCAAAACACCCTATTTTAAATCTCTAAGATGTCTACAGCATGAACTTTCCTCACACAGAAATTTTGCTTTTATACAGATCTTTTTTTTTTGGCACATTTAAACTTACATTTAATTTCTGATAGGGCATTTCACATCTCAACAGGGTATGGTGACACCATGACACTCATGAACATAGTGATTTACTCTACTAACAGTCATCAACTACACTTTTCATAGATGCAGATATTAGGCAACTGATAGTTGTTTGCATTAACTTTAAACAGGGTTTTAGTTCTTGAAAATAAGGTAGCGCTGGAAGATGAGCATGTCATACCATGCTGCCGACATCACAGTAAACACTTTGAAGCCATCAGAAGTACCCACCTGAGTGTGCCTGGGAACCAGGGAGCCCTGGTGCTGGTGCCAGGGAGGGGGCCATGCATTCCTCAGGGACCAGCACCTGGTTCCTCACCACTCTTTCACCAGTTTTTAACAATGGCATGGCTTCACACCCTTGGAGGCCAGTGCTGGCACTGCAAACACCAGGTGTGTATACCAAGGCTGCTGCCAAGCCTGCAGGGGTGTGCATGGTGAGGTGTGCACAGGGCTCAGGTACAGCTCCTAGCTGGTTTCTAATGCCAAAGGATCCTGAGAAGTTTGGGCAGTTTTCATTTGTTTTACTTTCCATTTAGGACAAAAGATTGGAGCTGATACTCAGAAAGTCACCAAATCTTTCCCATTTTTAGAGTCACAGTCACAGCCCTGTGGCTGGTCTTCTCCAGTGGGAAAGACTAGCACCCCAATCTGTTACTTTACTCAGATTTATAAACTGGTCTTGTTTATTTTCAGAGTTACTGTTATTTGCTCATTAATATTTTTTGAAAAGAGAAAATCATCTAAAATTTTTGCAATATTTCCTTCAGAAAGATCATAAAATAATTTGGAAGTAATATCAAAGTGACTCAAAAGTCATAAAATTTTACTTAAGGTCAAATTAAAAAAATAAGTTAATCTGTTCCTTAAAGTGCACTGCAAAACCAATTCTGATGTTTTGACTGGCACAGAAGCCACTGAGCAGTGTCATAGGAGCCTGAGAGCCAGAGGCACCAGCCTGCACCACATCAGCCTTACAAACATAGGGCATAAGGAACAGAAACTTATGAACCAAGAACAGAAATCTATGAACCAAGCCAGATTTTCAGAGGACAGTATGAGCCAACCTAGTTTCCAGACTAAAAGTGCTCCCAGCCCCATTTGGTCAGGTAGGTGTCTCCAGAGGAACTAGGCCTATGCCTGTGGAAACAACTGGCTATCATAGTTTTCCTTGTGAATTGACTAGTGATGGCAGTGCAGGTCCTGTGGAGCAGAATGGCTGAGCTTGTTTTGGCTGTTTTCCCCTGGTGTCTTCTAAACCCAGGTTCTTTAACCAACATTTGGGGAAAATGGCTTATTTTCTTCACTTGGCTTTTCTCGATCATTTTCTGGCTTTTACTCTCAATATATTTTTTGCTAAACCTGTTTCACAAATCACTACCAACTAAAATCTGTATTTGGGGGTTGGGGAAATGGCTGAGCAACAGTTAAGAGCACTCACTACTTTTGCAGAGGGCCCAGGTTTAGCTCCTAGCACCCAAATGGCAGCTAACAACTGTCCATAACTGATTTTCACTGGCATTGCAAAACATGGGTGCACTTACACACATGCATGCAATGCACTCAAACACATAAAATAAAAATAATAAATAAAATATTTTCAAATTGTAAAAAAATAAATAAATAAAATGTGTATTTGCTGATGTGACCCCCAACTTCTCAGGCAGATGTAGCCTGTTGAGAATACCAGGGCGGTGACAGGGTGGGGACTGAGGGAACCCAGGTACAAGCCCCCACAGCCAAGGCCTGGTACCTAAACTGCTGCTGGCTGAAGCTTTCTGTCTCTGTTTGTGGAGCTCCAAAGCTCACTTGCATTCCACTAAGGCATCACTTGGTCTCAAGGTGGACAGCTCCGATGGTACCTATTTCCCTGTGAGATTTCAATGATTTCTTTAAAAGTTCAATGCAAGAACTACTAGGCTGTCTTTTGAAGACTTGTTTCTGCCTTACTAGGGGTTCATCTTAGCCCTGGACTTCTCGGAGCACCAACAGAGGAAGAGACTGCATATGCTTTCTGCTAGGAAGAAAAGTGCATGTGGCAGCAGGTGCTGGGTTTTGAAAATCCACGTAACAGAGAAGCTCACCAACTGTCCTTGAGATCTCTAACAGGGTCTGCTGCCTGCTGCTGCCCTGCTGGCCTTTGGTTCCACAGAACTGCAGCCTCCATGTGAACCAGAATCAACCATTCTGTGGTTTGTGATGGTACTCTGCATCAGGTCCAAGATCTGCAGGCTTAACTTATGGTGAGTGCTGAACAGTGGCCTCTCATGCCCATCTACAATTATAGTCCCCTCCCCCCACCACAAAGGTATCCCTGTCTTTTGTTGCTAGCTGGTTATTTGGATATTTGTAGCCTTACAAAGTTCTTGGTGTAATATACCTCTGTTGCACAGGTCTTGGTCTCTGACTCTCAGGTGCCACATTTTATTAACTACAGACAAAGGAAACGACTACCGAATGAGAAAGTGGAAGTACTCCAAAGTAAAGGTTTTGGACTTACCTGATTTTTCTAAGCCTTGTATGTTTTCCTTTTTTAGATGATCTAGTCTTTCTCCAATTTCCTCTGCTTCGATATCCAAATCAGTTTCTGTTTTCACAGCTCCAATTAATAGGGTTGATGTTTTGGGAGGTTCTACAACAGTTCCTAAAGTAAGAATTGCTAATTTGAATGTCTAGTAACAAGTGATCATATTTTTTTCAAATGAGCTAATTTCACTTGCATTTACCCAGTTACATCCTCGCTGCCATGATTCTTATATCCTAAGATGTCAGGTGAGGTAACCAGTTAATTCCAAAAATAAATTTTTTAATGGTACTGAAAGAATAAGGAAGTAGACAATGGAAGGGAAAAGCAAGGCCAAGTCCATGACAAAGCAGGGAGAGATGCTTCATAAAACAGCTTTAGAAAAGACAAGAACAAAATGCCAAGGCTGTATGCTCGTACTGTCACCACCAAGTACTAAGTATGTACATGCAAATATGCTGGACCAACTGCTCTGTGCTCTGCAAAGGTACTAGCACTGTAATATCAAGTACATTATGAACAAGCCTACATAGGAAACCCTGGACAAACAAACCCACACAGGAGAAAGATGGAAGAAGGAAGCAAAATGGAAACTGCTAGTCTAATAGTAGGTAGGTGGGGAGCCATCATATCCTTTTCATTTTTCTACATGCTCAAGTGCTTTAACAATAAAAAGCTGAAAAATACAACCTAAATTCCGATGATTGTAGGACCGGGCGTGGTGGCACACACCTTTAATCCCAGCAGAGGTAGGCAGATCTCTGAGTTCAAGGGCAGCCTGGTCTACATAGTGAGGTCCAGGCCAGCTGAGGCTACAAGGAGACCCTGTCTCAAAAAAAAAAAATTCCTATGATTGTAATATGAGACTTTGAACCACTCACATAGTACTTTTTAGATCATTAATCCACTGATGTCCATAAATAAGTGCTAAGATAAGAAATGCCAGTCATTAAGTAAAGCATAATTTATAATACCCAAGATGCAGAAACAGCCTCAGTATACACTTAGAATGAATATATAAATAAAATGTGGTATATACAAATAATAGAGCATTATTGATTCTTTACAGAGAAGGGAATCTTATCCTAAGCTAGAACACTGATGAGCCTGGAACACGATGTGAACAGAGAAGCACAAGCACAGCATGGTTCAATCCATCTGAGCTAGCTACATAGTCAAACTCATAGAAACAAAGAAAAATGACCACTGCGGGGTGAGGGGGATTGAAAGTTAATGAACATGCAGTTTCAATAGTGTGAGATGGGAAGACCCTAGAGATAGGCTAGACAATCATGTACATGCAGTCACCAATAGTGTTCACGTCACAATGACGCTTAATCTTGATTGTCACCTTTATGGGATTTGGAATCACCATGGAAAGGAATTTCTGGACTTGTCTGTAAGGGATTATCTAGATTATCATAACTGAGGTGGAAAGACTTCAGTTATGGTAATCTAGAATGGACAACCCCATTCCATCTGTTGGGGTCTATACACCATCAGAACTTATAGTTCAACACAGTGTAATTATATGCCACAAAGAATATCCAAATACAGGGCCCGTGAGATGGCTCAGTGGGGAAAGTCCCTTGCTGCCAAGCCTGACATTTTTAGTTCAATCCCTGGAACCCATATGGTAGAAGGAAAGAACCAACTCCCAAAAGGTGTCCTCTGATGTCCACATGCACAGGATGACATGCATACATGTGTGTGCCCCATATACACATGCAAAAATTAAATAAATGTAAACTCTAAAAAATGTTTTAAATAGGTACACAGGATAGGTTAATAGTAGAATTTTAGAGGAATGAGAGAGAGAGAGAGAGACATCAAACAAGAGCTAGAAGCTATGTAGTTTGTTTCAGACATCTAAACAGTGACCATGTGCAGATACACAAAGATGAGTAGTCATCCTCTACACAGTCCTTCTCTTGAAACAGGTAATTACAATGTGTGCTGAATGCTAAAGCAGTTCTCATTGGGTGCTACTTAAGAAAGATACCCAAAGCAGAGGGAAAGGAGGGCAGATTTCAAATCAAAATTTATCCTGGTACAAAATACAGGCATGCCCAGATAAAGGCCTACTATTCACATAGGGCCACATCTACATTCATTTGATATAACAGAAGGAAGAAAAGGGTTCTGTTATACCTATTAAAAGCTATTATATAAATATGTATATAAACATTTAAGGTCAATATGGTATATGTGCAATTTGTACTATATTGACAGCGCATTTGTTTTTTAGCAACAAAATATCTATCATATAAAACGTTAAAAGTTCCAGTTTAAGCTGGTATGGTGATGCACACTTATAATCCAAGCACATGGGAGGCGGAGTCAGGAATATTTGAAATTGAAGACCAGCCTTGGCTACATAGCAAGGGCCTAGCTAAAATACAAACAAAAGTTCTAACTTAAACATCAATCAACTCCAGTTGAAAGCAAGAGCATTTCCAAGAGTGAGGAGGGTGTGTTCACCTTTGACAAATGCTAAGAGAAGTTTGTCATTCACTAGTTATATACCAGTAACTCTCTTTGAGTCATGTTCTCATTATCAACTTTTTGGGGTTTTTTGGGGGGGGAGGGGGTTGAGACAGGGTCTCCCTGTACCCCAGCTGTCCTGGAACTCACTATATAGACCAGGCTGGCCTTGAATTCACACAGATCTGCCTGCCTCTGCCTCCCAAGTGCTGGGATTAAAGGCGTGCACCATCATGCCCAGCTTTCATTATCAACTTTTACTGAAACATAATTTAATAAATTGCGAATTCAAAACAGACATGTTCATAATTTTATATTTTTCCACAATGATTTCCTATTTTTATAACCCTATTGACAACAAATTCTGTTTTTTAATAAAAAAAGTTCTTGATAAAAATTCCTGTTTTATTTTCTGTCACTATATTTCAAAAAATAAATCCAGATAGCCAGGCATGGTGGCACATGCCTTTAATCGCAGCACTCAGGAGACAGGCAGACCTCTGTGAGATTGAGGCCAGCATGGTTGACAGAGCTCCAGGCCCGCTGGGGCTATAGGGGAGACCCTATCTCAAAAATGAAGATAAAATTAATTAATTAATTAATTAATAAAATCTAGAGCCAATTAGAGTAAACTATATCACCGAGCCGGGCATTGATGGTACATGCCTTGTAATCCTAGCACTCAGGAGGCAGAGGCAGGTGGATCTCTGTGAGATTGAGGCCAGTCTGCTCTACATAGTGAGATCTTGTCTCAAAAAAATCCAAAAATTAAAGTAATATGAAATCTGAAGTTGAGAAATGTTAAGATATATGACAGAAGATTCATGAATTGAAAGAAGTTATATGGGTCTCCCTTTGGAGGAGCTCTGGGCACTCATTTTGCAGGAAACTGTGTTCTGTCATTTGGGCTGGCGCACTCCAACAGGGAATGCCAGGAGCTGATTCATTTCTCCATTACTACATTACACAAGATGGAAAATTTTTCCTAATCAAACTCCCAGAGCAATGTCCATAGCTTGGCTGTTTTTCCAAACCTAGACTCCATGGAGAAGAAAGGTCTGATGTCATTAATTACCTCTGTCTGAAGGCTGTTCAAATGGAGAAGCAGTTGAAGATGTTTTCCTGCGAACTAGAGTTAGATGCACCACCTGCCCTGCATTTCTTAGTACTTCAACGACATCCTGGTTAGCAAAGCCCTGAGTATTCACACCATCCACCTGTAGCATTAAAAGACAGAACAGAGTTTCAGGTTAACTACTTCCCTTTTTGTTTTTCTTTTTGTTTGTTGTTGTTTTATTTTGAGACAGGGTTCTCATGTAGCCCCAATTGGCCTGGAACTCGATGTAAACCAGGCTGGCCCTGACCTCACAGAGATCTGCCTGACTGTGACTCCCAGAGGGTCTCTATGTTGCTAGTGCAGGACGGCCTTGAACTCACAATGTAGCCAAAGTTGGCCTCAAATTCACAAGCTCCTCCTGTCTCAGCATCCTGAGTGTTGGGATTACAGGCATGAGCCAACCCCATAATGAATACCATTTTTAATTCTGGTGATGTTGAAAAAAAATTAAGTGATTAATTTTGCTATCCCCTGAATAATTTATATAAAACTTAGAAAGTGGTTTTGAATAAGAATAAAAATAGTTTTGCTCACAAACCTACATGCAAACTACAAAACAAATTTAAATTTGTACTCCTAAGTCATGCATTTTAACTAGCAGCATGAGAAAGACAAAGGGCTTTAATCCCTCATGCTAGACAAAATTTATAATGCTGAAATCCAGTTAATTGTTATAGCTCGTTCTCAATATGTACCAATAAAATTCATTATCAAAATTAAAGATGTTATCACTATATGATAGCACTATGTGATATTTTCTATTATATAACGGATACAACACACCAATCTCCCTCCATTAGGTCTGCTAAAATTCTGAAAACGTATGTGCAAGATATCTTAAGTCAAGGCCAACTCCACATTTCTGAAGTTCATCAAGAGTAACAGGCCCCTCTCCATCTCTCCTAGACAGCCAAACTATTACTTCAGATTTCTTCCTGAGTTCCCTCAAAATGTGCACTGCTACTGCTGGCCTCCAGATCCTACAGATCATCAAAAGGCATTTTCTAAGCCCATTCATGTAAAAGTCAATAGTTATGAAGAGTGTACCTTAGATGGACTTAAAAGACAGACTTGGGCTGGAGCAATAGCTTGGTCATTGAAGGCTCAGGCTAACAACCAAAACATCAAAAGGCAAAGACTCAAATTGTACCACTCACCAACTGTTTCTTACATAAACCACTCTGTGTGTGCGTGTGTGTGTGTGTGTGTGTGTGTGTGTGTGTGTATGTGTGTGTGTGCATGTGCACATGCGAACAGATTAAAAAATGTAGCTATAAATTTGTATTTCTACTAAATAGACCAATTTTAATTAGCAAAAGGTTATATTCCCAAATTTATAAAATATTTCAATTTTAATTGTACTCAAAAGCATTCTAAGTGGAAAATCATTTCAGAAAATCATAGAAAAGGGCTGGCAGAAGAGCTATTCACTGTATATAAAATGGTGAGCATAAAGAACACAAGGACATACTTGAAGAGTGCTTTCTAGGGGAAGGCAAGAACACCATACCTTTGCATGGACGTATTTATTTAAGGATATATCTAGGGGGCTAGAGAGATGGCTCAGCAGTTACAAGCATTGGCTGCTCTTGCAGAGGACCCAGGTTTGGTTCCCAGCACCCACATGGTAGCTAACGACAGTCTACAACTCCAGTTCCAAGGGATCTGATGCCTTCTTCTGATCTCCATGGGTATTATATGACACAGGTGCACTTGCACACATGCAGACAATACACTCATACACAAAAAATAATAAATAAAATATTTTTAAAAGAATATGTCTAGCTTTTTGCTACCAATGTTTAGTGAACTTTTTCCTCCTTTACCAAAAAAATGATATTTAGAGCCATAGGATGCTCAATTGATGCGATTTTACTGTACTATTAAGCTGTCTTCCTCTGCTGCATAGGATGTAAAGATCAGCTTCTTTCCCCCAATAGTAACTTACAGCAACTGTCTTGTCATTCACTTGAATCTGGCCATTGTGGTACGCAGCACTGCCTGGTATGATACTTTTCACATAAATCCCCAAACCGTCCCCTGAAGGAGCACAGACATAGCAAAAGGGAGAAAGCTATAATTAGGATTTGATTGTGAAGTTCTTTTCAAGAGGTTAATTAGCTAAAGAGGCTGACTAGAGGCTCGATAAATACTATTTTGAACACATGCAGAGAAAATTGATGGATTATTTCAAACTGTCACCATCACAAGTGGCCTGAATTAAAATGATTTGACTGATAACTACTCTTCTGGAAAAATAATCAGTAATGGAAACTTGATGAAATGCATCTCAATTTCTGCTGGGGTTCTGAGGGGTCAGGACGTTGGTCCATCTGCACTCTCACTGCTGGCTTGGCTCAAGTCTTCATCATTTTTCTAGCACTATGACAACAGTCTCCTAACAGGCCTTCCTGCCTTTGTTAGTTCAGTGCTCACGTAGGTTATCCAAACAGAAAGAAAAGGACATGTGGTCTTTAAAAACAAACACACACTAGAATGGTGGGCTGGTGAGATGGCTCCATGGGTAAAGGTACTTTTACAAGCCTGGTGACCTTAGTCCAACCCTAGGAACTTATGCAAAGGTACAAGGAGAGAGGCAAGTACCAGCATTCCCTTCACATAGCATGCATGCCCCTCCTACAATAATACAAATAAAAATGTTTTAGAAACTAGAAGAAGGGGGACTAGAGAATGGCTTGGTGGTTAAAAGCATTTGTTGTTCTTGCAAAGGACCTGGGTTAAATTCCGAGCATCCACATGGCAGCTAACAGTCATCCATATTTCCACTTCAAGGGGAATTCAACACCCTCTTCTGGCCTCTGTGGGCATTATACATATGTTACACTTACATACATGCAGGCAAAATACTCATACACATAAAATGAAAATAAATTTTTAAAAAAATTTAAAAACTAGAATGAGTTCAGCAACATGAGATAATCCATACACTGAAGTAAAATACTTGAGCTCAAATATCTATAAAAACTATAACCATATAAAAAGCATATATTTCTATGAGAGCTACAAAGAAAATTGTAAAATTAATAACTATAGCTTTGAATGGTGTTTATTAATGTCAAATGAACTCAAAACACTAGAAAAATTCCCACTGCCAACATAATAATATATAAATTTCACTGACTCACATCCCAGGTATTCTATAATAGAAAAAATAAGCTTATTTTTTAACTTCATCTTCCACATTATTCTTTCAACAAGTCCTGACAGTCCAGATTCTGGCATTACACAAAACACCACAGTTCTTCATCATTCTACACCTTCTCTCATTTAATTCTTTCTTTCTTCTACTTCTTCCCAGCTACCAAAATCCTCTTTCCTCTCTGCTAAAACATGTATTTTCAGTTTTCTTTGAACATATGAAAAGGTTTCTACACATTTGTCTGCCTAAATAGAATTTTTTTTAATTTTGGTTTTTAAGATGGAGTCTCTCTCTCTCTCTCTGTTGTCCAGACTCGCTTCAAACTTGAGGGATCAAGTGATCTTCCATTTCAGCTGCTTAAATGACTGGGATTACAGGCACAAGTCACCATGCCTGCTTCCTGACGTTTCCTATACCCATTTCTCTATCCCTGAGAACTAAGCAAAGTAACCTCACACAAGTCCCACAGAAAATGAACCAGGGGCTGGGGAGGTGGCTCAGCGGTTAAGAGCACTGGCTGCTCTTGCGAAGGACCCTGGTTTGGTTCCCAGCATCCATATGGAAGCTAACAACCATCTTTAACTTCAGTTCCAAGGAATCTGATGCCCTCTTCTGGCTTTCATGGGCACTGCACATGCAGTGCACTTAAATACATGTAAGGAAAACATACATATAAAATAATAATAAAAAATAAATGAAGACAATAAAATAAACCATGCATGTGCTACACCCTTGGAATCCTGACACTTGGAAAGTTGAAGCAGGAGGGCTGTAAGTAAGCATGGGGCTACATAGCAAGACCCTGTCTAAAAAAGCAGGGGAAAATGGGAGTTGTAGCTCAAAGGTAGAATGCTTACTTAAGGTTTGATCCCCAGCACACATGCATGGGCACACACACACACACACACACACACACACACACACACAAATAAAATGTAAAATAAAACCACCACAAAAATTAGAATAAAGTAAAAATTATTTTTGTGTTTTTATACATGTCAAAATAGCTGTTGACTTTTTAAATGTCTAGTTTAATTCTCCTGCTCATCCTCCCAAAAATACCCAATCCTAGAAATGTTTTGAGAGTAGAGAAGTAACAGGACTATTTTCTTTGTTCTGTCACACAAACTTCAAATGCCCCATCACTCATTCATTCACTTTTGCTTACTCACTAAGCTACAAGTTTAGGGATTCAGTTAGGACTCCTTAACAAGGTGTGATATACTGACAACTACTCAATGTGTTTTCTGTGCCATTATTATTATTTTTTAATCCATAGTTAGCTTTTGGGGACTTATTTAAATTCTGAACATAAAAAAAGGTTACATTTAGAAAAATCTAAAGTTTTGAGAAACTGAATCCCAGTCAGTACTGTGAATACATTAGCACTATTAATCTCCCCACCTGTTCTGAGCATGCAAGATAACAATTTAAGAAAAAACAAAACAAAACAAAAAACCTCTCTACCTGTTCTAGTTTGTTCTTCATTGCTGTGACAAAATACTCTGACCAATACCAACTTGGGGAGGAAAGGGTTTATTTGTCTTACATCTCCCAGGTCGCAGTTCATCAGGGAGCCCAAGGTAGGAACTCAGGTCAGGAACCTGGAGGCAGGAGCTGGAGCACAGTCCATGGAGGAATGCTGCTTACTGACTTGCTCCCTTGGCCCCTGCTCAGCCTGCTTTCTTATGCCACAAAGGCCCTCCTGCCCAGGGGTGGCACCACCCACAGTGGGCTGGGCCCTCCCACATCACAAGAAGATGCCCCTCAGACATGGCCACAGGCCAGTCCTGTGGAGGAAATTCCCCAATTGAGGCTCCCTCAACCCAGGTGATTCAAGTTGACACTAAGAGAGCTATTCAGCACACTACCCTTGCTGTTTTTCCAAAAAAACTAAAACATTTCAACCTAAGTGTTCATGTAAATATCAAATATGTTTAAAGTTTTTTTTTATCTATCCATACAATTCCTTTATAATCAAGGAAAAACTGAAAGTTACTGAGGCTAATCTTCAGGTAACATTTGAGAGAATCTTATTCAGATACTTGAGTCCTGTATTCTCACAATATATTGTCTTAATATTAAAAAAAATAGATCTAATGAAATATTTATCTTATTTTTCATGATTAAACATAAAAAATTTTATACAGTCACAATATACAGTAATATGCAGTAATCAACTTACTTTACCCCAAATATAATACTGTATAATATATTAACATTCACAGAGTGTTAAAAATACAACTATTTTAGAAACAAAAGGAAGTAAAATCTAAATGTTACATAATGAACTGCACCATTAAATTCCTTTGTTAATGACCAAAATCCAGTCACTAAACTACTGAGACAAAATGTGATTCCCTAATCACTTAAAAATAACTGGCTACTTTTATAGATTCCTGGTTTTATTGTTCAGGGTTTAAGTTAAAATCTGCAGGTACTTAATTTTATTATCTAGAAACTTTAACATCCTTTATCATTATTTCCAAATATAAAGTAGAAATGATTAATTTACCTGGATGAGCTGTTCCAACAGAGCCAACAATGAGAGCTGTCCTGAAGGGAAATAATAAACTTAATATTATATATTTAGTTACATAACTGTGTACATAGCCAATTTATTCAAGGTTTGCCAAGTTTTTTCTGTGACAGACCAAATTTTAAAATAGTTACAATGACCTCAGATCCCTGTGGGGTTTTTTTTTTTTTTAGTCTTTTTTGAGATAGGGTGTCCCCATAGCCCCAGCTGGTCTGGAGCTCACTATGTAGACCAGGCTGGCCTTGAACTCACTAGCGATCTGCCTGCCTTTGACTCCCAAGTGCTGGGATTAAAGGCCTGCACCACCACACCTGGCCCCCTGTGGCTTCCTAAATCATGTGGCCAAAGGAAGATTATTGAGGTGAGCCTAAATCTAATCACAGAAGCCCTTTAAAAAGGAGAGCTTTGTAACAGAAGGGAAATGAAAAAGATTTTAAATATAAGAGATTAACTTGTGGTTTGAAGGTAGAGGGGTCAGATGGAAAGGAACAGGGACAAGGGTTAGGGGCCTGAAAGGTGTTCTGGATGATGACCCACAAAGAAAAGGGTCCTCTGTCCTATGCCACAAGAACTGCATTCTGCCAATAACCTGAATGAGCTTAGGAGTACGTTGTTACCAGGTTCTCAAGAAAAGAGCCCAGGCAAGCCAATACCTTCATCTTGAACTTAAAAAAATATTTTATTATTTGCATTTTTTATGTGTATGAGTGTACTGCCTGCATGTATATCTGTGCACCCATGTCATGCAATGCTGTGGCGGTCAGAAGGCATCAGAGCCCCTGGAACTGGAGTTAGGGTGGTTGTTAGTGGTCATGTGGGTGTTGGGACTCAAACCTGGATCCTCTGCAAAAGCAGCCAGTGCTCTTAACTTCTGAACCATCTCTCCAGTCCCCATTTTGGCTTTCTAAGAATCTAAGCAGAGAACCCAGCCAAGCCTACCTGAACATGACCTAAAGAACTGCAAACTAACAAAATCTACTGTCTTCAGCTGCTAAATTTGTAACAATTTGTAATATGACAACAGAATATTAATACAGCCATTTAGAAAAACCTCAGGTTGTAAAGTTTTTTGAATCACAAGCATAATGAAAAATTTGGAAACCAAAGGGAAGGCTAGTTAGTTACTATATATAATACTTTAAAATTGGTCCTGGGACTGGAAAGATGGCTCGGGGGTTAAGAACACTGACTGTTCTTGCAGAAGACCTGGGTTCAAATCCCAGAACCCACATAGCAGCTAACAACTGTCTGTAACTCCAGTTCCAGGGGATCCGATGGCCTCTTCTATCCTCCACAGGCATTGCATGACACGGGTTCACCTACCTACATGCAGGCTGTACACACATACACACAAAATGCAAATAATAAATAATTTTTTTTTAAATTGGTCCTAATGTCTTCTACATATTTTTGAAATGGAGTAAGGCATCTAACCCTAATACTCTGCTTTCAATTCCAAGCATTAATATCACAAAGTAAACAACAGATAGGGCCAAGTCCCCACAAATCACACAGCCTTGTGGTCTTTTACTGGAAGACTTGAGTCAGTGAGCTAAGAAATGAAGAGAACAGAAAATGGTTATGGCTACAACTTGGAGAAATTAAACAAAAAAGCTCTAACATCATAGAAGGAAAGCTATCTATACGGCTCCTAGTAGAAGCAGGTAAGCATCTTTCAAGAAGACAGGGATGCCTCAAAGTGTAACTGGTGGCCTTCCTTTACCATCACAGTTCTGCTCTTCTCTTGCCTCCACCTCCCTCTTCGTGCTTTTATTCAGGGTTTATAAGACTTGGAGGAGGGTAGCATGGACGTAAAAATTTCCACTGAAATCCCAGCTTTTGCAGCTGACACCTTATAGGTCTGCAGCAAGTTGTTTGAGCTTAGTTTCCCCTTTTGCTAATGGTCAATAGACACATCATGAAGAGCTACACAGGGACTTCATTGTCAATAATGTGGACCAAAGCAGGCAGTAAACAATGGCTGATGATTATTAGTTATAATTACTTGTCCATGAGTACAGTAACTATTATTAATACTCTTCATTCTCCTCAGCCAGTTCATTTCTATCAGTGATAATTCTCATACAGTGACCAGTATTCAGTTTCCCTACCACCATCTGAAGGCTCCAAGGTTTAAACAACAGCAGGAGGGGCAGCCACAGAGAGGGGCAGGAGAAGAAGAGGAGGGGGGGGAAGAAAGGGGAGGAGGAGGAGGAGGAAAAGGAGGAAGGCTGGAGAAACAGCTCAGTCAGCAAAATGCTTGCTGTGCAAGCATAAGGGCCTGAGTTCAGGTCTCTAGCACATGACATAAAAAGCCAGGTGCCATAGCACATGCCAGTAATCTCAGCACTGGCCTTGCTCACCATCGAGTCTAGGTAAAATGGCAACTTCCAGGTTCAGTGAGAAACCCTGTCTCAAAAATAAGGTAGAAAGTTATAGAGAAAAACACCCAACATTGACCTCTCGCTTCCATGCACATATATGTGACTGTGCCTGCACACACATGCATACACACAAACATGTACACATCACACACAAAAAGACAGAAACAGAGAGAGAAGGAAAATGGAGGAAGAAAAGAGCAAAAATCAGACATGTCTAATATGTGCCTCCATATTGAACTCTCCTTGGCTTCTCTCATAAGCACCGAGGTGTGACTCACACCAATGTGGTCTGCCAGGTGGAAGGATTTCTTATCTTGTATCATGGGTGGCATCTGACTTAAGAAGAAAGAATGATTTTTAGACTCACAGAAGCAAGGCTCCTGTTGGCTACAGCAGGCAGGGCAACAGGTAAGGATACAGAGGGAGGAGGTGATATTGGAATTTCACCAACAGGATCTCTAGCCACAAGCATCCTGATCGAATTCCCACAGTTCCTTAGCACTTAAGCAACTTGTTCACTGGTCATTCCCTGTACGTTTGTGCCACCCATCTTCAAGATGTGGTTGCCTGTCTGTAGTCTTCCATCCTTTAACCCAAGAAAGAAAAACAAAATTATTCAGGGAAATCAATGATTTAGTTTAACTGTAGAATCAAACTTCATCAGACTTTCAATTCTAGCAAAATGAATGACAAAGCCACTTAAAATGCTGGACAAAATACAACATTTTAAATGATGTATTGAATTTGCAAAATATAAAGTTATTTCTTGTGGAACACAAAAGATAGAAGGGTTCAAAATTAAATAAGTAATCAGAACTTTAAAGTGAGCATCTGCTGGGTAGCTTTAACTCAGGTCTAATGGCCTAGAGCCATATAAATAAGGAAAAGATCAGAAAGCCCTGGTCTTTAAAAATGAAGGTCAGAACCTACGTAGTGAGTTCCAGGTCAGCTGGGGCTGTAGGGAGACCCTGTCTCAAAAAGACAAAAAAAAAAAAAAAAAAAAAAAAAAAAAAGAAAGAAAGAAAGGTCAGACTAAGGCCAACAAGCTAAGGAGCATGTCTGGAGACACCAGTGTGGCTAGAAAAGAATGAGAGAACAGTGGAGATGAAAAGGTAACAGGACAGCCAGATGGTGTCACAATTTTGTCAGCAGAGGGCTTTCAACTAGAAAAGACAGAGTTGGCATGAACTGAGCTGACAATGACAAAGAGTAACAGTGGGAATGGAAGTCTAGAGCATCTGAAAAGTTGAAATTTTTTCCATGTGCCATATGGCACATATGGTTCAGTATGCTAAGCCATACTCAGAGAGGCCACAGTTGAAAGTTTGATTCCTGAAATGACAAAGAAAAGCTGTTCCAGGCCACAGATGACACAGACCACCCAAATGAGCATTTTTCAAATGTGTTCTGATATTGTACAGCTTCAGGAGAAAAGCTTACACAATAAAAGTCAAAGCGTGCACACAAAAGAAGTCAGATCTGGGTGCATACTTTGCAGCTTACAAGCAATTCTTTTCTTCCTTTTTTTTCTGTCTTTTTGAAGCAGGGTCTCCCTGTAGCCCCAGCTGTCCTAGAACTCACTATGTAGACCAGGCTGGCCTTGAACTCACAGAGATCTGCCTGCCTCTGCACCACCACGCCCAGCTTTTTCTTCCTTTTTTAAAGACAGGGTTCTATGTATCTAAAGCTGACTTGTAATTTGCTATGTAGCTGAAGGTCATATTGAGCTTTCTGATCTTCCTGCCTCTACCTCCTGAACATTCAGATTACAGGCAGGCACCACCATACCCAGGTTAAGCTGGGACTGTGAACTGACCTAAGGCTTTGTGCGTATCAGGCAAGCACTTTACCAGCTAAGTCACATTGCTAACCCCACTGACCTTTTTGGTGGAGGACACATTTTTTTTTTAATTGATGATTTTAGAGCAAAACTGTCAGCTAAATTTTTGCATCCCATTAGCATTATACTTCTAGAAAATCTTCAGACTACATTAGCCCAGTATACTTATCATTTAGTAATGTCTTGAATGAGTTTATGTTGAAATTATCCAGGTCATGTTTGTCCTGTTGAATACACACGGCTATTTTTTATTTATGCACAATTTTATTATTTTATCTTGCAATTTAGCCATCTCTCTTATGTCATATTTTCCCTTTATTTCCTGGATCTGTTGCAGGGCAGATTGTCCAACATTTTAGGTTGTAAAGGAAAAATACTATCCCTTCTGGAGAAAGGGTTGTAAATGAAGCTTGAATTCATGAGACTTTTAAGGAGAGGCACTTGAAAGTTGGAGGTAGTTTTCTTAGGGCCTCAAATCAGAGGCCTATTATATCTTCTTACACACATATATATGCATATGTAAACATATACGAGGAGAGCATTTCTTTGAGTTTCATTACTGTATCTAATACATTCTAGCTATTCTCTCCCTTCACCATCTCTTATCTCCCTCCAGCCCTTGAGGTCTTAAGTTTGAAAAAAACAGATACTCTCAGGTCATTTGTGTGTGTGTGTTTGTATGTGTGCATGCATATATGTATATGCATATTCTATGTTCTATGTATATATATGTGCATATATGTGTATATTTGCATGTATGCATGTATATGTGTGTATGTGTATGTGTGTGGTTGTTTAAATAAGTGTCCTCCATAGACTCTAAGTATCAAGTGGGAGAGAGTATCTTGCCATACTTCCATAGCACTAAGTGACAGTCTATAAAAACTTTCCTTACATTTATTTATTTGGGGGCCAGGCACGCATGCCACTGCATTCATGTGGAAATTAGAGGACAATTTGAAGGAGTTGGTTTTCTCTTTCTACCATGTGGGTCCAGGGATCAAACTCAGTTTCAGTCTTCACAGCAAGCACCTTTACCCACTGAGCCATCTTGCCAGCTCCTTGATAACCTTTTAAAATGACTTTTTCTATGTAAAAAAAAAAAGTGACCTTCTCATTTTAGGTATTCTAGTCATTATTCTGCTATTGCTGTTTAGAAGTAGTGAGAGCCTAGGCATGTTCATGTGGTGCCTCTTGCTGTTTGGCTTTCATTTTGAGGTGCTAATCCAGCATCTGTGCTTTCTCCAGCCTTCATACACAGAATTTGACATCAGTGGCAATGTCCTCGCTCTGATCTTCAACCAAGGCATGATCTGGTAGGTCAGATATTGGACATTTGATCATGTATAGAAAAGTGCAGAAGGCACTACAGCTGGGTGTCAGAGGAAGCCCCATTCTGTGGATTCCAGTTCACCATTTGCCAAGTAAATTTGGGTGGTGTGGCATCTTTCTGCTTTACAGAGTTCTCCTTCAGCAAACCATGAGAGCCCATGCTCTTGTTGGTAGACTTATTTGAAACCACCCTACATCCTGTGACACCATGATCTAATAGGAAAACATCAGTCATCAATGATCAGTCACATTAGCACCTGTAAATAATGAAATGTGTTAACATAAGGCCTTTAGAAAAATTGATTTTATTTTCTTGCCACTACTAAACATATAAAAATATATCCTTTAGGTATTTTTTAAAATGAAATTTTACTAAATACAAGCATTTATAGAGATGCAACACATGTTTTAGGAAGTTCAAATTAAAAATGTTATCTTCAGTTTGTAATGTTGTATAGGACCACTTACACATGGGAATTTTTATTTTGATGTCAAAAAATTGTCATATCTTTTATTAAGTGGGAACATTTTTTACTGTACACTTTGACACATCATGATAAGTTGATGCAGTGAGAACCATTTTTTTGAGTTTTGAAAATGGAATTACAGCATGCAATTAATCTGTAAACTCTGTGTCTTAGACTCTGTGTCTTCACCAGCAGCTCCCCAATCCACAGGCGGTTACAGCTGAGCTACTTTTTTTCTAGAGATACGTGCTTAATGCAATAGTATGCTACAAGCTGCACCACTGCACCACCACAAATGCCAGAAAACCTTTAGTTTGTTCAAAAAGTAAACTTCAAATGTTACTCAGATCCTTCAACCAAAGCCATCTTGACAGAGACTGGACTTCTGCAAACATGAAAACCACCTTGCTTTAATAGCATAAGGATTGCTTCCAAGTCCATCATCCTGCCAAAGTACCTGTCAAATTTCTGCCTCCCTAGGTGAACCAGTATAAAGAAAATGCTACAGAAAAAAATTATTTCTGTTATAAGAGATTATTAAAATTATAATTCCTCTCCCCTGATATTTTGCCTTTTTCAAATATGGCTTTAGTGACCAGAGAATCACTAAGGGCTGGAATGTGCTCTTCATTCTCCACACAGGGAGGAAAGTCAAGGTGACAACTGGTAAACCCAGGAAAGGGGGAGAGCAGTTCCTCTGGGTTCTAATCTTTCACTTCCCAGATGGGAAGCTGCTCCATGGCAGAAAGTGGGCAGCATGGCTATTGGAATGATGAGAAACGTGTTCCTTATGTCTGCAGTGCCCACACAGTGCCATAAATCCCTCTGGCATAGACATATGTTGAACGCTGAGTGTGTTCTCTCAGAGGTAACACAACAGATTGTCCCAGAAATCACTTTTATTGTTGAAAAAGCTATTGTAATTGCCGGCCTGATTCATTTCATTTGTGATTTTGTCCACTATAGTTCATACTAAAATCTTGAAAGATATGTAAAAATTGTTTTCAGTTTTCTAAGGGGCAGAAAATTGCATTATCAGAGTTGGCATTGTCACTTTATATTATTCTTCAGACACTGATCAGGCTTGTTCTGGCTAATTTGATGAGAACTTTAGGATGTTATTATGTTTCATGAGTGTACCAAAGGTGTTTATGTTCCTGAGTTCCAGAGGCAAAATAACAATTCTGTTATTTTCCATAAGGTCAGTGCTTTGCACAGATATTCTGTTCCTTTCAGGAGACTGATGAGGGAGTAGGCATGGGATGTGGTAGGAAGGTATGGTGAGGGTCACATGTAAAGCCAGCAGGCTTACTCTGCACAGGGTCCAAACATACTATAATTCCACTATTTCACACACATGAGGAGCTAGTGCCTGAGTTAGCCATTCTTTTTAATAAAACAATCGAAACATTATAGGGATTTTTTTATTTGGTTGCATTGGTTTGTGACTAGAGACATTCAATCAGTGCTTTAGGAGTTGTTGAACATTGTAGAACATTTATTGAGATGTTATTAAAGTCAAAACATTAGTAAAATCTATTCTTTTGGCTTAATGATCAACAAACCTTCATTTGCATATTTATTTTTACAATAAACATCATATATATCTGTAATAATATATCAAAATGGGAAAAACACATAATATTCTAAAATAGCAGAACACAGAGTGGCATCACACATCAAGCACTGATCTGACAGAGAAGAACTTTGGGTTCATTGAGTACCATCCTTCCAGTCGCACTGTCCTTTGCTCCTCATGATAAGGTGTGAATACCTGATATGTATGTGGCCCTGGAGCACTAAACAGAAGATTATTTCCTTCACTTTGGTCTTCTTGGAAGAAAAGCCATCTTATAAAAGCTAAGATATTGTGATGACTTTTACCTGGTAGATGACAGAATGAGGTCTGGGTACGGGACATAGTGGGCTGAGCTGAATAGTAAATCATAAACAAAAATGAGATGATCACTAAGATTCAGATATTATTGTGCCAAGACCTGCCTCTCTGGGTTTTGGCTCTCATAATATCTATGTGATATTTATTTTGAAATTTGTTTACCTATAGATCATTTGCATATAACATGTGGGTGCACATGTATTCATTTAGAGAAGCAATGCCATTGTGTTATAGGCACATGGGTGAGTCATTTTTGGAAAATCTAGGCTTTGAATTATTTAAATTCAAAATTTTAACTTGGACTCAATTAATTTGTGCATAAATGAAAAAAATCCCCAGATCTTAGCACCTTAGAGAAAGAAAATATTCAGTGCAGGCTGGGGCAGAGCTCTGATCCCATGCCTCATTCTCGCTCAGAGTCCTATACTGATGGTGTAGAATCAATCTGGAACATTGCTGTCACAATAGCAGGAAGAGAAGGAAACAAAACTGGTAAAGTTTCCACCCAGTAGTGAGACATCTCATTTACAGTTATGCTTTGTGGACCAAAACATGTCACCTACCCCACCCTCAGTTTCGGAGGGCGGTAGGCATGATCAGACCCAGGGGGCGAGCTTTGTAATCCTGCCACATTAACTGAAACTATCATCATGTACTCTCTTTTGAGTTCCAACTTCTCTCTTGCTAGTTTATAACAAAGGTACATAGTGTTGTTTTAAAATCTACCCTCCATGAAAAAAGAACTTCTTGCAAAGTCTGTGTCAGTTCACAATGTCGTCACTCAGATCTGCTGCTTGGCATCTTACCAACAATATAATTCAAATTTGGGGAATATTTTATGTTTCAAAGGAATGAATTAACTTTGGGATGGTAGAAGTACAATTAAAGCAGAAGTAAATTTCTTCTTCTAACATAATGCTTCTGTAATATACTAAGTATTCCTTTAAAATTAGGTTTTGACTTAGATTCTTAGTTTCTTATCCTGTTGTTGTGACTAAAATACTCTGACAAAAGCAACTTAGGAAGAAGCCATTGATTTTTGGCTCATAATTTCAGGTTGCAGTTATCCAAGGCAGCAGGAACTTGAAGCAGTTAGCCACAATATCCATAGTCAGCAAGAGAGAACAATGAATGGATGCATGGCACATACACCAGTTCATGTTCCCACTCTTAAGCAGTTCAAAGTTCCTTGTCTAGGGCTTTATGCCACCCACAGTGTACAGGTCTTCCCTCTGTAATTAATGTAATCAGGAAAATTCCCCACAGACATACCCAAAAGCCAACCTGATCTAGACAACCCCTCGTTGAAACTCTCTTTCTAGGTGATTCTAGATTGTACCAAATTGACAATTAAAACCAACTTAAACAACTATTATATACATTCAGGAGATATCAAATGTTAAAACTGACCAGAAATGCTGAGACATTTTGGGACACCTTGGGACAGTTTAAAAGATAGGGCTCCACTCTTATAAAATAAGTACAGATGTATCTTTTTTGTTTTGGACTTCCAAATTGAAATTCAAATTGCTCTATGATACAAATAGATTTTCTCATAAAAAAACACAAAAATTTATTTTTTTAATGATTAACTAAGACATCAAGTAAAAGTGACAGGTGATTTCTGTTCAAAAATAGCATTATATAGTACTTTTAAAAAGTAACAGAAAAGGGGCTGGAGAAATGTCTCAACAGTTAAGAGCACTGGCTATTCTTGCAGAAAGACCCAAATTCAGTTCTGTCAGGCCACCTCCAGTGGAGCCCCGTGAGGAACTCTCCGTGGGTCGAGGCTGAGAAAACTTCAAAGGAAGAATGCTTCCTGGAGATGGCTGTGTTAAAAAGCATGCTGTGTCCTTGGCTGTTCTGCTTTAGTTCTTGTCTTCATTGCTGTCTTCATTCCTGTTCTTTCCCCATAGAGGAACTTCTCTGTACCTACTCAGGTCATTAGGCCCACCTGAAGAGAGACTAGATACGGATGATTTCCTGGGAACTCAGTTACCTGATATTAGACTTCCTCCAAATGCTCCTCTCTTGTTTCAAACAATAAGTAAAGTAGCTAAGAATAGGCAACCTTAGAAAATTCTAGGTAAGTTACAGCAAGAAGAATTATTTGTGTATAATCCCCCTGCTTCAGTCCCTAGAAGTTGACTCAAGGAAATCAAACGGATACTAAAAGAAGATTGCTTCCTACAGTTAAGACAGGGCAGACTTAGGAATTGCCTATGAGTTAGGGAGAGGCAGGCTATGGCATCCCCTTAAGGGAAAGGAGAGCATATTTAGAATCCCGGAACCCACTGATGAACCACTTCCTCATACAAGAGTTTATGAAGAAAACAATAGATGGGCAAATATTCAAGGAAGGAAGGTTCCATGGTATTCACTATAGTTTATGGATAGGTTAGTTAGATCTAGACCACCTTGGTGCCTTTACTACAAGTCAGCAGCAACGTATACTTGAACAATTACAGGCAGTATAAGAAACATGGAAAGAAAGAATAGGAAAATAAGGATTAGAGAAACAAGCCTTTGAAGTTATATGGAGTTATTATAACTTCACTGACCTAGTCATTGGCCTCGGCCACCAAAACCTCAGAAGTAAAATAAAATTTAAAAAACAAAACCATAAAATTACCAACAATGAAATTTATAAGTAGCTGATGTTGCCAAACCACTAGGAAAAAGGATAAATAGTCTAAGCATCTGATTAATTAGATAAGAACACTGTACACTGTACTGTATTGCTTTGATTTTGAATTGTATTTCTAAGAAAATGATTAACCATGAAATAACCTGATGCTTGCACAATCTTGTTCTGTAACTTGTGTAAAATCTGATGCTCCACTTTAGAAAATAACATTCAGATCATCAACCATCTCTTGTGTTGTGTCTGTTTGTCACTCGCCAAATCCTTGCCCACTCTCCGATTCCCTGTTCCTGTCGGACTGAGTGCTCCGGCCTGGGCTGGTCCATCGCACAGTTCCTAGCACCCACATGGCAGCTAAGAACCATTTTTAACTCCAGTTCCAGGGGCTCAAATGCCCTCCTCTGGCCTCTATGGGCATTGCATGACACAGGTGCACTTACATATATGCAGGCAATATATTAATACACACAAAATAAAAATAAATAAAATGTTTTTAAAAAGGAAGGCCAGCAAATCTCTGTGAGACCGATGCCAGCCTGGTCTGTATAGTGAGTTCCAGGCCAGCAGTGGCTATAGGGAGACCCTGTCTCAAAAAGACCACAAAAAAAAGTGAATTACTTAGGTTATTAAATAAGAACTAAATTTAAATGAATGTGAGGAATTTTTTATCATGAAAACACATAGCTATATATTATCAAGGAAGACAATATAGTGTTAGTTATCAATATCTTTTCTATCAGCTCTAAAGCACTATAGCTACTACACAGAAAAATAGCGTTATAAAATTTTTTCCTTTTCACTAAGCAAAACTTTATAACAAAAGTGCTTAGTCTAAATGTACAATTTATTTGAATAGAATGAAAGATTTTAATGCCTAATTATTTTAAAACTTTTATTTTGAAATACGCTAGTCAATGATATAACTATTGGAAAAAATGAGTTTATAAAATTAGAATAAAAAAATTAAGATTGTAACATTTGTTGACTCTTGGAGTTTATTTTTACTCATGATAACAGATTTAGTTTATGACATATGTCCTATGAAAGAATGACATAAAATATTTGCAAAATGGGAAAAAGGGTAAAACGTGTCTGGAAGATGGAAGCAGGGCTAGTCAAGATTATTTATAGACAGCTTTCACGGTTGGGTGTAGCCATACGGTTCCTGCCTTTGTTGGGAAGCATGACTTAAAGTAAACAGGCACTGTGGGACTTCGTTATGGAGGAAAGACTTGGAATTGAGCAGGATGCTGGTTTCTTCTTCTAGGATGGGCTCCTTCTTTGCTCCTAGCCTCCCAGGCATCAATATCCTCCGACTCCACACATCCATGTACTTCCAGTGCTGGGCGGTGATGTGCTGCAATGTTCCTGAGGCCAGAGTCTTCAAAGCGTCCAGATCCAACAATTTCTATCTGGACATGCTGCTGCTCATCCTCTTCCTGTCCACCATGCCCGTCCTGTACATGATTGTCTCCCTGCCGCCGTCTTTCGATTGTGGTCCCTTCAGGTCTCTTGTCTTCCAGATTTGGCCTGGGGGCAGTGTTCATTTAGGGGTAGAGGGGGGAATGGCCCCTCACTGTCCAGGCTTAAGTTTTTTAGATGACATTTTTGGTTGGCAGAAATTAGATCCTTTGCGTCACCAGGACCATCATGTGATGTGGAGCATCTCAGGCATCCTCCATCTAAATGCTCCCTTGAGATTCATAAAGGGAAAATAATTTATGCTGCTCTAGGTTCTGCCTGGGTAAAACATAGACAATGAGGCCAGCTGTTTCCATATTAGGGGGTAGCTAAGAGAAGGTTTGATTACAATGGTCTGGATGTGAAGATTTTCCTGATACGTACAATCAACATTGTTACGTTTCATGTGGACCTTGGAAAAAGCAGATTTTCCACCTTAAGTGAGAAGTAGACTCATTCCGAAATCGTGATACATATACAAAGAGTCACCTATATTTTGATCCCAAAGTTCTCTGTGAATTAAAAATCTGTATTCCCCAGTTCAGCATTTATATTCTACCTATGAGTCACTCAAATCAGTAATCAAGACTCAAGAAAACTCTCTGACATAAGTTAAAGTTTACTTTTCTACAAGTTTACATGATGAACAAAAAAATTAGAGTCTTTGGGATGTGGAGAACAGGGTTTCATTCCCTGAAAGCTCTTAGAAATGAAACAAACTTATCACATGTCCCCCCGGAATCCCTGTACACATCTGACATAAAGGGAATGAGTATGAAGGTCTTGTGAGCTACAAACTCCATGTACCAATGCCCACATAGAATTTTCCCTTCGAGCTGTCAGACCCAAGTGATTTAATTGAAGCCAAAAAGTTTGTTGCCCAAGGCCAAATATAAAAGACATTTTTTACTCCAATAGTTACTTCAGTTATTGTTTTACTGAAAAAGAAAGAAAGGAAATATTAAATCAATGATTGTTCAGAACTAGCTAGTATCTGTCAGACTCCGGAAACTGAGGTTGATAAGCCCTGCTCATTTTTCTGTGTATATGTGTTTGCTTGCACATGTGTATGTACATGTGCTTATACACATATAATTGTTCTCAGTTGGGTTGGAATAAATAATGCAGATAGTGACATCTGGAGACTAAATACGAAACTGCAGCCTTGAAACAGATACCTTAATCTGAGTACACAGTTCGAAAGATAAGCCACTGAAAAGTCTTCGGTTAACTGAGAATTATTCACATGATTTTATATCTAAGATGCATGTTAAAGGTGCTTTTAACTTTTTATTTAAAAACTGATCCTCCTCAGTAAAACACAGTAATCAACCTTTGCTCTGTTACAGCAGTGTAAGGAAACCACACAAACTGTGAACACCAAGCTGAGTGGCTGCACAGCTGGATTCAGACTTAAAATTCCAGTTAGAAACACAATGATTGCCCAAATGTAGCTTTTTAAGTCCTATTTCCCCTGTATGTGACTTTTGCCAAAAGTTTTCTGAATGACAAATTTGGACACAATCACTCTATAGAGATCACTGTTTTGATTAGGAACATTCACATGTTTGCAGAAGAGTCCCGGGAAAGGGGTTCATCTATGTCCCTTAGTTTTTCTAGTGGTTTCTTTCTTTGGTGGCCAAAATACAGCCCAAAGCTTTTCTATAAATTACAATGTTTTCTAGAAAGATTAGTATACATATACAAAGGGAAGAGCTTGACACAGCTAGTGTTCCATCACAATTCTAGATGCTCTATAGACATCTTGCTCTCACTTTTCTAGGAGCTGATTCTCCTCTAACCTCAGTGGGTCTTAGCTGGTGTTCACTGGGAGCTGTGTAACAGGAGAGACACTCAGGGAGATGAAGGAGGTCTGGTGGGAAAGAGGTAGAAACCATGGTGTGGAAAGAGATACTGGAGTGTCTATAGATGTTATTCCACTAATATATTTCTTGCTTTTATTTCCAAAGCCAATTAATAATTGAGTGTGTCACATACCAAGCCCAAAGACAGCCTTGTCTAACTAAGAGCAGCTAGCAGAGGAGCAGACTTATGCCCGACATAAAATGTCTTTCAATCAAAAACTTAGAAATACGATGTTTAAAATTCTTCTGTGGCTGTGCGTAGTTTCCTGACTGCTTTGTCTAAGTGTGCATGCTGGCATGACATTACTCACATCACATTCACCTGAGGATAAGATGAGGTCAGAGCATAAGGAGATGTAGCCAAATAGTAGATTTTCAACCCAAAAGAGTTCCTATGCAATATTTGAGAACTATTTCATTTGCTTACTCTGATCATACTTTTGCAAATCATTTTAAATTCAGTAACTGCCCCCTCTTTCCCCCAGTGGCAAAAACAGGATGTTTGAAGTCATTGGTGAGACCCTGGAAAATGATTTCCCAAGCTGGATGGCGAAGATTTTGAGGCAGCTTTCTAACCCCGGGCTGGTCATTGCTGTCATTCTGGTGATGGTGTATGTACCTGCCCTCTCAGTGAACGAGTCTTTGGAACTTACTCCCAGGGTCCTTTTAACTTTCAGGCTTTCCAGCTCCCTCCCTCTCCCCATGGGTTGTGCTGTAACAACCAACTTGATGATGGTTATGTTGCTACATGTGCCAGCTTCTGATCCTATTGGATGCAGTTCACAGCCATCTACATCTGTCTCTGCCTCTCTAGGATTATAAGATTTGTTCCCAAGTAACCAAAATAATTATCAGTAACAGCTAAAGCAAGGGAAACATAAATGCTTATTGCTAAATCTAATCAGCATGTTGAGTTTCCCTCTCAACATGGCCCCTACCTCTTGTTCCATAAAGCAGATGGCTGTGAATATACAGAAATGATGTGCCTTTATGTTAACATTCCGCTTGGAAACCCTGTAAGCTGTATTTTAGGGCTGATGGCTTAAGGAGCCTTAAAAGTCACCCCATCCTTTTTTCTTCGAGGACTGCCAATAACTACATCCATGGTAACAGAATCAGAGTATAGCATCTTGCAGAGTTCCCTTAATCTATCCCTTCAAAGTCGAATGATATCCAAAAGGGAATTTAGCAGGAGGCTTTCTTCCTACGCACCTTTCACTGGCTTAAGATTTTCAGCTATAGCAGTACAAACATATGCTTGCTTCTGAAAGAACCAAGAAATACACCTTTTCCACATGCTAGCCCCTCCTAATGAGAAAGTGTGGAACTGCCATGACTTTAGGTCAAGGGCAGCAAGTATTATTCTGCCTGCAGAAACACTTCACCAACAAAGTTGATGCAGAGGGTCAGACTTGCTTAAATAAAGGCAAAAGAAGTAAAAACAAGGGAGGAAACTCCCACTACTGTTAAATGAAGAAGCTGGGATTCTGACTCAGTTATTGTGACCATCCTCTTGGCCATTGTGATGGCCACAGTCACATAAGGTGGTGAGGACAAGGGCCATCTTCAACTTTACAAACTAAGAAACTTACGGGGTTGATGTGCTCTTCCCTAAGTGAGAAACATAGTAACGTGGAAGTGGCACTCAGAGTAGACCCCTTTCCAGGAAATCCAATGCTCACTCGTTTATACTCTGACACCTTCCAGGAGGGAGAGCAATAGCTCGTAGGGATAAGTCAACCATAAAGGGATTGCTATTACGTGCTTTGGAACCTTATTACAAATCTGAGGGTAAATCTCTGGAGAAGTGTGAGAAGCATCACCCAACAGATGACCCTTCAAGTGGTTTTCCTATACCACAATTTCTTAATAATGGCTTCTAACAGCAAGTTAACAAGGATCCTGTGACTTTTGATACAAAAATCTCTCTAAAAGCCTAGATGAGATCTTCTTTAAAGCACATGCATAGAGACACATGGACCATAAATGAAGGTCAGCATTTGTTACCAGAGTCTCAATTTGTTGTGAGACTGATTTGTTTCTAAGCAAAGGAGCAACAGCAATACTGAATGACATAAGGACCCAATAAGCTATCTGAAAGTATGGAAAGGGAATTAATGCTGTCGTTCCAGGTATGAATCATACATTGACTCATTTTTAACCATAGCAGTCTTATGAATTGGCTCCATCAATCACATTGTCAATAACACACGGTTGATCTGTCCCAAGTGAAGTGGCTGATCAGTGGAATTGAGATTCATTTATCACTCTTGTTTCGATTCCTTCCACCCACTTGCATCACTAAATGAAGTTTGGTGTCAGTGGAGTAGCAGAAGGTCCAGAATTCCCTTGTTAGGAATAGTCAAGGTGTGTCCAGACTTTTGGCATTGCAAATGACTGTGACTGTGCTCTATAAAGTTGAGTCTTGTTCAAGCTATCCTGGGATGCACATGGCCGAAGGGTCATAGGTTGACACATCTGGTTGACTGAGGCACACTAGTATTAAAGATCCAGATAATAGATATTTTAGGCCAAGAGACAAAACTCGCGATGGTATGTATCTAGATAAATATCGAAACATGTAGAAAGCACTTAGTCGTGCCTGCTTTGGCAGCACATGTACTAAAATTGGAATGAGACAGAGATTAGCATGCCCCCTGCCAAAAATGACATGCAAATTCAAGAGACATTTCATTTTCTTTAAAGTACTTATTTCAAAGACCATAGAATGTAGTGTGGGAGATGGATCTGCTATGTGGGCTGTAGTTTGATGGCTCTTGATACAGAGGAAAGCCGGCAGTGTGGAAGGGTTAAAGAGATTTCCATAAAGGTTGCTATTGTAGCTCTATGCTGCTGACTTAAAATCCAAATTTCAATTTATTGCTGATTTGATTTTTTTCCAAATCCTGAGGTCTCATCTTCTACTTTGTGAGGCTTGCTACAATTGGCTTGGATTTTAATTACCTTTAATTAGAGATTGTTACAAGCATTTGAATTTCCCAACGGATCATATTAAATCTAGGTGGATGGTTTTCAGTTGTACGCACAGATAGTATTCAGGTTAGTTTTTAGCTCGAACTAGTACCAGGCAAGGAAGTGTATGTGAGGGATACTCATTTAAGATGTATTAGTAAACAAAGCATAAGCGATGGATGAATAAGAATTACAGGGCTGAATATGTCTCTGAGAGAGCTTTAAGTTCATCTCCTGTATCCAGGAAATTTTCTAAGAAAATTCTTATTAAAAAAACGTAGATACACACAGACACAGACACACACACAGACACACACACACACACACACACACACACACATACACATACCCTCACACTTACAAGCACTCTCACATACATACGCAGTCATGGTCATACACACACACACACACACACACACACACACACACACACACAGGCTACCTTTTTCACGCCAGCCACTGCCTCAGATGCTTTAATATATGCAATTTCAGGCAGATTCCAACTAATCACATACAAGATAAACCCAGCTAAGCTATATGTCGGTAATTGTGCTGCTAGCACCAGATGGCTCATAAATGATATTCTGGCATGTGGGTGAGCAGAGAAAATGTGTTCAATATCCAGTTATTTATAACAAAGGCCAATATCAGTTATCGTTTCCTAAATACATTTTCTCCTTCGTTGATCTATTTTGTCTT